TTCACATCAAAACAAGCTTCCTTCAGTGGAGAATAAGGTCACAAGACTCAAAGCAACAAACAAGCCAAATGCTGAGATTTTATGTTCTTACAAATCACATAATTGCAAAACCCCACCTAACAATAATACGAGAATGTGAAAAACCTAGTAACATTAAGTAAACATATACTTTGTATAATTATTGACGGCTTTCTTACCTATTTCATCCACGACTTGAATCATCTTCTCTAGTTCTTCTGGACAGACATCAGGGCAATGAGTGAAGCCAAAATAAATCAATAACCACTGACCCAAGTAGTCCTTGTCAGTTTTATGCTCCCCAGTATGAGTTGTGAGGGAAAAGGGTCCCCCAAGTAAAGGCTTGCCGATCTGTCGCTGCCGTTCCTTCTCTAACTCTTAAGGAGACACAAACATACACACCAAAAAAAAGTCAGTTTAATCAGAGGTACTCAAATACCTGACATATGGCCAGTACTATGTTACTCCCGGTGGGGGCACAAAATGTGGAAAAAATAGTTTGTTTTCAAGAAGCTAAAAAAATCTTGAGAAAAATAAGCACAAAACATTAAAACAAAATCAAATAAAATACTATGGTATGTTATAAAAAAGGAAACAATATTTCTTCTTTTTCAGGAACAATTCAGTCCTAAGCCATTAGGTGTGTCCATGCTGGGGACAGGGAGGGGCCGCAGTGGCCTACAGCTGCATGTCTGAACCCAAGTGGGGTACAGTGGGTGGCCTGGCATATGGAGTCTGATCCTGCGTGGGGAGGTGAGAGTGGCGATGGGACCTTAGTTACACACAAGAAATTGATGAAATAAATGAATATATTAAAGACAAGAGAGTTACAATAGGAAATGGAGTCAACTATGGAGAGGAAGAAAGCTAGGCTGAACCCTGTAGTACTGGAAATACACTGGAGGTACTAGTGTGACCTTCTATCTATATAGATATAAAATAAATATAGATGTACTTAAATACATCTATTTTCTCACCATGTCCACTGAGAGGACCAGGGAGCAGACACACTCCAAGAAACGATGAGCCCAGAACCTGACTTCTAAATATCATTCTTCACTAAAAGGAAACAGCTTTTTGGAGAAATGGCTGATACCAGGGTTGCGGCAAAGAAAGTGGAAAATGAGGCTGGAACCTCTTGTTGTGGCAGAAGGAAAGCAGAACTCAGAGAACATGTCAAATCCACAGAAGCCTGCTGCAAGGGGGCCACGGCTGATCAATCTGGGACAACTTGGGCATCAAAATAAAGAGATTATGGATTGAAACTGAATGAATATACAGCAAACAAGTCCACAGATATAAATAAACGAATGCATTGATAGTGTGATGGGGAACAGAATATTTAAGTATACATATGCCAATACAAATCACGAAAGACCATTAATTACATGAGTAACTTTTCAGTAGAAAACCTGTTAGACACACATTAATCAAGTGATCAAACTGGACATTATCAGTAATGGGACAACTGGTACTATGTGGTATCTGACCAGATGCAAGGAGAACACAGCATCACTTTTGTGATATTCCTGCCAAAGTTGAACAACCCGAATGACCTGAATGAGGAAACATCAGACAAATCCAAGCTAAGAGGCATTCTGCAAAATAACTCTCCTGTAACTGTCAAAGCTGTCAAGATCGTGGGGGTCAGTTGAAGTCTGGGAAATTGTTACAGATGAAGGAGGCTAAGGTGAACAACTAGGTACAAGGTGGTGTGGTTCTGAAACGGATGAAACGGATGTCTTTTGCTATGAAAGACGTCAAGTAGCAAAACTTGGAAGACTGAACTGTAATCCAGCCTGGGCAACAGGAGCAAAACTCTGTCTCAAAAACCAAACAAACAAACAAAACCCTGCCTGAAGACTGAACAGTAGCAAAATATCAGTGTTAATTTTCTAATTTTGATGGTTGTATCGTGGTTACGTTCGAGAAGGTCCTTGTTTGTAGGAAATACACCAAAAAGTGTTTGGAGCTGATGAGGCAACATGTCGGCAAATAAATACTCTCAAATTATTTAGGAAGAGTTTTAAGATTATTTCATAACACATTTTTTAAAATAAAACAAACGTTAGAATTGCACTTGAAATTCCAAACTAAAGTCAAAAAAAGCTTCCATATTCTGGAATTTTCCTGCCACAACTTTCCTAGCTTTTCTTTGTGAAACTAAAGGAACTTACTGCTTATTAGACTATGAAAATCTTACCAATACTACTTATTATGCCAAAAAGTCTGATATACATATATATATATATACACATGTATATCAGTACTAAACTTACACTGCTAAGTTCCCAAAGCCTATGAATTCCCAGATTTAATCATTGGCCTTTGTCTATAATGTTATCAAAAGAGACTCCAAAGAATGGGAAAGATTTAAGCAATACTTTAAAGATTTACCTAAAACATCTAAACCAAATCTTAGAGAAGTCCTAGGATATTCACTAACATACAAAGTTCTTATAAACAATTTCTAAATATTTCAAGATGCTAATCCAGAGTAGCTCCTGGCACTTCCTGACCAGGCTCTCTTCACCACCCCCTCATCCACAGAGGGCATGCAATATCTACTCGCACCATGCTTCTTGCCTGATCCCTAGGAAGCCTTCTCAAATCCCAAGGCTGGGCCTCGCTTTTGCTCTCAGAACATGCTAAGCTTCCTTCTGGCCTGGCAGAACCGCATCTAGTAAAATCCTTTACTTCTGTGTCAGTTTCCCTGCCATGTGCACCTCAAAGGCTGGAGTGCATCTTAGTCATCTTTGTACCCTCCAGATTTCATCTTGCCCAGTCAAATCTATCCACAGTATATCTTTTAACACTCTTATGCAGTGGTATCCTAGCTTGGGTCCTGGAACAGATAAAAGACACTGACAGAAAAACAAGTGAAATCCAAATAGAAGCTGTAATTTAATAGTTGTGTGCCATTTTAAATTTCTTAGTTATGAAAAATGTGCCATGGCTATATAAGATGTTAATATTAGGGGAAGCTGGGTGAAAGGTATATAGAACCTATGCTATCTTTGCAAATTTTTTTGGTAAATCTAAAGTTGTTCCAAAACAAAAAGCTTAAAAACAACGAAAAAGGTGTTAGTCCATAGCCAGGAAGAACTTTATTTAGGGCTGAGCAGATGACAGCTACTTACTCTCTGCCTTTTCTTTCTTCATGTACTTCATTCCAGCCAATAAAGCTCCTCCAATAGCAAATGTGATTGCTAAAGACTTCCAGGAAACAGGCTACTAGGGCAGGGATTTCAAACATAAAAATTCTAGTAAGATGCAAACATTTAACCATATAAACTTATGACAGTAGTTTTTAATAAATATACACACAGGCCATGATGTTGTTAAATGTGCAAAATGTTTCAGGGATGAGAAAATGCTCAAAGTTTCTGTGGATGCAGTTAGGTCTGGGATCTGAATTACAAAGACAGTCATCTCCAAGGGAAAGTTCCCTAAGTCAGTTTCTCTTCACGTTTAAAAAACAAACAAACAAAAATACAACCTCAAGTACCATGATTGTTACTATGTGTGACCCTGGCTCCAATCGTGACTTAAAAACCAATTACGGCCCGGCGTCGTGGGTCACACCTGTAATCCCAGCACTTTGGGAGGCCGAGGCGGGTGGATCACCTGAGGTCTGGAGTTCGAGACCAGTATGGCCAACATGGTGAAATCTCATCTCCGCTAAAAATACAAAAATTAGCCGGGCGTGGTAGCGGGTCCCTCTAAACCCAGCTACACGGGAGGCTGAGGCAGGAGAATCGCTTGAACCAGGGAGGCGGAGGTTGCAGTGGGCCGAGATCCGGCCACTGCACTCCAGCCTGGGCAACAGAGCAAAACTCCGTCTCAAAACAAAATAAAAACCAAAAATCCAAACACACACACACAAAAACCATTATCTGTTTATGCTGATACTGAGAATATAAACAAACCAAACGAAATTTGGGAGGTTAACCTAACTCTGGCTTCCAGAAGTAACAAAGCCAAAGTACAAGAGGCATCTAAAAGTGGAGCTTCCTGCAAATTACTGCCATTATTTCTTTGTACCCTTATTCAACTCCCCAAATGAGGAAGAAGTTGGCCAACTAGGCCTAACTCATTAACTTTCCCGCAGCTCCGAAAACCCACTTCTCTTACCACAGGATAGTGGCTCTCAAGTTCTTTCTGGGTCAGAATCGGAACTCGAGAGAACCCCAAGAAAAAGGCACATCCACACATAACTAAGTTCCATTTTTTGTTTCAATTTCAACATATACATGGAACTCTGGATGAGGCTCAAGTGACAAATTATAAAAGTCCTCGGACTCCTCAATCACAGTCAACTTTAGGTTCACACCCTTAAGAAAACCTGAAACTTAATTTTTTTTTTTTGGTGGAAACGCTAACATAAAATCCAAGTCCGGGCATCCAGCCACGTGGAGAGGGTGTAAGTAAGGTCTCAAGTTCTCTCTGGAGAACTGGGACTACCGGCTAAGCACGGGAAATGCAGGATGAAATTCCATAACGCAGGTAAGGCGCCCAAGCTGAGGACAACTTTAAGGGAGGCGGAGTGTCTGAGGTTAGTTACGATCAAGTGGGATGTGGCGGCTGGGCTGGCCGACAGCAGCGACGAGCACCAGAAGGGTTCCAGATGTGCACTCACCCCGGGCTTCGAGGGGCGCGTGGAGTCTCTGGGGCCCTTCTCCGACCACGGGGGTGGGGGTGGCGGCCTCGCCGTGCTGAGGGGCCGGGTTCCTAAGCAGTAGCCAGGGAGCCCCGAGGCACGCCACACCTCCGCTTGCCGCGAGCAGAGCTGCCTCAGCAAGACTCTCGCAGTCCCCTCGGCTGGGCCCCAAAGCTCGAGTCCGCGAGGCAAGAAGCGCCAAAGTTGGCCACCCAGAGGCCGCATAACTCGTCCGGGTACTAGGACCAGCGTCGCCATGAACTTCGGAGACCGGGTATCCTTTGACCCTTCCTGCGATTTCCGGTAACGTTTCGCTTCCTCCGGAAGTCGGAAGGAGCCGCTCTGTCCGTCCCGCTCGTTGGTGGCGCGGTTGCTTATCCCGTAGGCTGGATCCTTTCAGCTGAGGGGCCGGCGCACGGTAGGTGGTTGCTTGCGGCTGGAGGCGGGTCCGGCGCGGGCTGGGCGGTGCCACGGGACCGCGGAGCCACGGAAGGGGGATGCCTTAGGGGTCCAGGTGGGCGGCTGGGCCGAGGCAAGGCGGCCCGAAGCGCTGGGGGCGCGCCGCCTTGGTCGGGGGCTTAGGTGACCACAGCCAGCTCCTCGCCCCGGGGACACCCCAACCTCGGAAGAGAGAACACACTGCCTAGAAACCCACAGGACTAGGCAGCCCCCGTAACCCTTCCTTGTCTGGCCGACTTTGTCAACGTCGTCCTGCCGGCCAAGAGGAAGTGCAAGATTGTTGACTCCTTTACATCTTTGAAATAGAAACCGACCCATTGCAATTGAAATAATCTGTAACTTAAAAAAAAAAAATTGCTAATTAGGATAATTTGAGTGGTTTGGGTGGTCTGGAAGAACTTTAAATGCCCAGCGCTTCTAGTTATTTAATATTATATTGTACCCTAATTAATAAAGCATAGCAGTGTATAAAGAAGTGTAGATGGCATGATATCCCGTCCCTTAACTTAGTCTTTCTGGGCCCCAGTTTCTTAAAATACTCTCACGGACTCCCTTGCTTCCTAAAGTTTCGTGATTTGAAGTTTGTTATGGGTTCCTCGCCTGGAACTGCTTATGTTCCTTATTAATGAGGCCAAGAGCATCCGTATGTTTTTCGTTCCTTGTGCAAGTCTAACTTCATTCCATCTGCCTTTAAGATTCGCAATATTAACCACTTCCTCCCCGCCCCTACCTCGGTGGTTGCTTTGCAAAAACCTCTAATGACTTAACTACAGATCCCGCTCCTGTGTGGCTTTTTTTTTTCCCCGCAAGGGACCGACACCGAGTAGGAGAAACTCGTGCTCTGGTGAGTGTTGGACCAGAGCATGGTTGGTTTGCTTGTTTTCTATGAGTTGGCCATACTAGCCAACTGTGCTGCTCTCTAACCCAGTAACGGAGCATCCTGTTACCTGTGTTTTTTGATTGTTGGTTGGACTAGGATTTTCAGAAATTTCTGCCAGAGTTCTTAAATGTTTGTTCAGCACTTCAAGTCGTTAATCAAACTATTTTTTTTCTATCTTAAAGTTGCCCGTGGGTAAGATTTTTACTCTTTTATCTTTGTGTATTTGTTTGCCCAGGGATAATTTTTTCCTGTAATTGACAAAAAGACATAAAAGTACCTTGTGTAGTCAGGCAAATAGCATAGAAAAAGTATTGTTCATCTCTAATTGCCCAATTGTAGGTTACCTGATCAGACACCCAAATTAAGATTGAAGTCAGTGTTTCTAGCTCATCTATTAAATTTTATTTGCTAAAGTGCTTCTTTTAGTAGCAACTTCTTCATATTAATTTTATAATATTAAATAAAATACTATCATTGAAGTGATAGTTCTTGGGGCCAGATGTGGTGGCTTCCGCCTGTAATGCCATCATTTTGGGAGGCGGAGGTGAGTGGATCGCTGGAGCCTAGGAGTTTGAAACTGCAGTGAGCTGTGATCAGGCCACTGCATTCCAGTCTAGGCAACAAAGCAAGACTATGCCTCTAAAAAATAAATAAAATAAAAATAAAATAGTTCCTGACTCAAAGTAGGTGTTTTATAACTGCATTTTGGATGAATTGCTAGTAACACCTGAGCCTGATGGCAAGGACCCATGAAACCTTAGTGTCAGAAGCTGCCTACAGTGTTATCGTGTATATCCTTATCACTTTTATTACTGCTGTGAAACCACCAAAGTTAACAATTGAGGTTTATGTTTTGTTTTCCAAGTTAGATATTTTTCTTTTTTCTTTTCTTTTTTTTTTTGTTTTTTGAGACGCAGTCTCCCTCTGTCGCCCAGGCTGGAGTGTGCAGTGGTGCGATCTCAGCTCACTGCAACCTCTGCCTCCTGGGTTCAAGTGATTCTCCTCCTTCATCCTCCCAAGTAGCTGGGACTACAGGTGCGTGCCACCAGCCTGGCTAATTTTTTTTTTTTAAATGTATTTTTGGTAGAGACAGTGTTTCATCGTGTTAGCCAGGACAGTCTCAGTTTCCTGATGTGATCCGCCCGCCTCAGCCTCCCAAAATGCTAGATTACAGGCGTGAGCCACTGTACCCGGCCCCAATTTAGATATTTTTCTTGAGAGAAGCAGGGCATGGATTAGTATCATCTGATATTGGTTCTATCAATAGTGATCAGATTTTGTTATTGACATAACTTTAGGCTGGTTTGACTGGGACAGCTAGGCCCTAACTTTTTGTGAACTTCCCAGCACCCTAATGTGTTTACTGCATTTTTGTTCCAGACCCCTGCCCCTTGGGCCTAACTCCTAACCACAAACATTTCCTGTCCCGACTTAAGTTTCCTTTTGGTATGCTCTCTGCATAGAAAACGTCTGCTGCACCCTTAGGCTAGGAGCCTCTGTTAACAGTAGTTTCTCTTAACAGAGTCTCCTTTATTAATCTCTAGACTTCCCCTGCTGCCCCCTTCACCTTTGACAATAGAGTGAAGGAAACATACTTTTTTCAGGATAGAGCTACTTCTTTTACAAGTTCATTATTGATGCTTGAAGGCTTTCCACAAGGAACTTCAGCCTTCTGCCGATCTTAAGTATTGGAGAAGTTTTATTAGTATGATCTTGTAGCAACTTTTCAGTAATTAAGCATCCTTGGATATGGGAGGCCTGAGGCAGGTGGATCACTTGAGCTCAGGAGCTTGAGACCAGCCTGGACAACATGGCAAAACCCTATCTCTACAAAAACAAAAGAAAAAAGCCCCCCAAAAAAGCCAAGTGTGGTGGTACATGCCTGTAGTCCTAGCTACCAGGGAGGCTGAATTGGGAGGATCACTTGAGCCCAGGAAGTTGAGGCTACAGTGAGCCGTGATTGCACCACTGCACTCCAGCCTGGGCAACAGGCAACAGAGCCAGACCCTGTCTCAGGAAAAAAAAAAAAAATATATATATATATATATATATACACACACACATATATATATATATATATGCCTAAGGTGGTTTTCTCAAAATGCTGGCTACTTACCCTGTACCATGACTTGATGGGAATTTTGAGAGCAACTCTTACAAACTTTTCTACATTATTCTCTTCTATTAAAATGTTGCAGTAGTTTCAATTATCTGAGGCTCATTAGACAGATTTTCAGATATATAATTTTAAAATTATTTTCTTAACATGCATAGAGTACTTTATGGTTTACAGAGATTTACAAAGTAATAGTTTACTGTGATCATAACTCAGTTGAAGCTCACAATAACCTGTTGAAGGTTATTTTGCTCCAGGAAACACAAGGACTATAATTCAGTTCTGGGTCTTTCCTTTCAAAGCACTTTCAGCACTTCATAATACCTCTTTAAAACTTAGATAATGTAGCATATAATAAATGGTGCAGGCAGACTTTGAAAACAAAGTTCACTAAAAACTTGCCATTCCCCTTTCTATTCAAAAGTGAAATATTTCCTTAGGTCTTCTAATTTTTCCAGGTTTGATTTTCTCTAAATTTTTGAATTTTTTTTTTAAACTTTATAATTTTTTTTTTTTTTTTTTTTGAGATGGAGTCTCGCTCTGTTGCCCAGGCTGGAGTGCAGTAGCACGATCTCTGTTCACTGCCAGCTCCGCCTCCCAGGTTCACACCATTCTCCTACCTCAGCGTCCTGAGTAGCTGGGACTACAGATGCCTGCCCCCACACCCAGCTAATTTTTGTATTTTTAGTAGAGATGGGGTTTCACCATGTTAGCCAGGATGGTCTCGATCTCCTGACCTCGTGATCCGCCCGCCTCGGCCTCCCAAAGTGCTGGGATTACAGGTGTGAGCCACCGTGCCCGGCCTATATATACATTTTTAAACACACATAAAAGTAGTTAGAATAAACCTCTTGCACCCATTCCTAGCTTCAACAATTATCCTCTACTCACTGATTTTTTTTTGTGTGTCTGTATTTGGTGGAAGGAGGGAGCTATTTTGAAAAACTTTCTGACATTAGAATGCATATTAATTCTAAATTTCCTCACTGGAGGTGGCTTTGAGTTTTTGATCTCTCTGTTCACCAGGACCAATCTTTCTGAGCTCCCTCAACATCTCCCTGAACCAAGAAAGGAAAGGCTAAACTCGCTAGGAGAGTCAGTTCCCTAACCACCTGGTTCTTTTTGCCCTGACATACTCACGTCTGATCCTGTCTTCCCTGAATGTGTTTCTGAAATCTGAAATGCTCCCAAATCAGAAACTTGAGCACCAACATAAAGTTCAAAGGAAATGTTCATTGGAGCATTTTGGATTTTGGATTTTCAGATCAGGAATGCTCAACTGTTAAGTATATTCCAAAATCTGAAAAAGTTCGAAATCTAAAACACTTCTGGTCCCAAGTATTTTGGATAAAGGGATACTAACCTTATTTTTAAAAGCCATGTATATTCAACACTTTGGATCTCTCTTTTCCCCCCAGAACACATTGCTATTTTGAAGTGGGCCCCTTGGTGCTTCTCTCCACATTAACTTTCCTTAAAAATTGCCAGTTCTTAGGATAGCCTTGAGTTTTTCTAAACTGAACTGTGTTCCAGTGGAAGGTGTATTTGAGAGGATTTTGGTATCAAATGACAGAAAATAAATTTGATTTAGCTTTAAGCCCAGGAGAATTTATGTGCTGATATGTGTAACTGAATGACCAGAAATGGTTCTACCAGGGACAGGTGAATTTAGGTATTCAACTAATGTTTTCAGAAATCTCTGTCTTTCCATCATTCAGAATTGTTTCCTTCTGTGTTGGATTTCTTGTCCGTTCATTTTTCTCCAAAAATTGAAGCCTTAGTTTATCAGCTTAGGAGACAGTGACTACTTTTGCTAGTAGTGCCAGCGCCTGTCCCAGGGCTGATGCTTATTGTGACCTAGCTTGAGTTGCATGCCTACCCCTAACTGGCCAGAGGAAACTAGGCTTTTATTGGCCAGGTCTGGGCCATGTGTCTGCGATTTCACTTCCCCAGCTGGTGAATGGGGATGGAGGTCAGACCACAAGAACTGAGAGTGGGAAATTGGAAAAATGCCTAGAGAAAAATTGGGGTGCTGTCACCTTAAGAACAGGAAATGAATGCTGGGTAGGCAAAAATAACAGCTGTCTTCTGGAGAGAAGATCCAGTTCATTGGGACTCTATCCCCTCTAGGAGATCCACAACACATATTGTCACCATAAAGGCTCTGAATTTAAAGACAAAAACAAGCTCACTTGGCAGGGGATAAGATCACCCCCCACAAATAGTTTTCTCTTAACCTTGGTGATAATATTCATGTTATATACTTGCTAAGTTATCTTCTGATTTGATTCTTCTATTAATCTGAACTTGGAATCGCAAATATTTGAAACCTAACATAAGGCTAGAGATTTTTAAACTGACTTAGATGGATTTTTGTATTTCCTGTAATTTATTGAAGTTACCCGCTTTTCCAATCAGATTACCTCTAATTTACACACCCTCATACATACTTACTGGCTTGCTATCTAATGAGATTTTCAGATGGGGGCTGCAGGAAGAAGCGGGCAAATTAAAAAAAGTATGAGAATACCATGTGTAAGGATTTCCATCTCTTTCTGGTGCTGTTACCTATTTTAGGGCTAGATATACCCAACCAGATTAAGGAAGAAAGTAGCTGAAACTTATAATTAGGTGGATTAAAGAGTGTATCATTAGTAACAACAGTTTTAGGATGAAAAGAGGCCCCTAATTCTCAGATAAGTCAAATCGAAGTCTTATCCTTATTCCAATTGTGGAGTTGTTTTCATCTCTTATAGGAGTACTCTTAGAGTTGGGATTTTACATGTCCGTAGAGGTTTCAGTAGGAACTCTGTAGATACATTTGTCAAATGACTAGAGATGAGGAGTCTGAAAGTAATTTTGGAAAGTCAAATGAATTTTTAGGTTTTAAATAAATTCAGACACCACAGCAACAGTTAATTACTATAGTCTTTATGACAAAAATTGTTGACAATTTAGGATTTTGGCCTTTGATTTTTGTTTGAATCATTAGCGTTCTGGGCTCATTTAAGAGATTATAATTTACAGTTTAAACAATCGAATAATAGTTTTTTCAAGGTTAAATCTTGCTCTTTTTGGCCACTGAGGCAGGGCAGAGATCATTTATAAGAAGAAAAGATTTCATCTTTTCTGTTTTGATGTGGGGTAGGTTAATATTCAAGTTTAAAAGAAAAAAAAACCCTGGTTCAAATTAGGATCCAGGGCTGGTGTGGTGTCTCCTACCTGTAATCCCAGCTACTTGGGAGGCTGAGGTGGAAGGATTGCTTGGGTCCAAGACCAGCCTGGGCAGCATAGTGAGACCATGCAAAAAAAAAAAAAAAAAAAAAAAAAAAAAAACCACAAACAAAAAAAGCAAATTTTAATCCCAACTATTGAAGAAGCAGGAACCACTGCTCACAGAAATGATAATAGTCACGTCAGTTGGTTTTTGTGCTGGATGTTTTTGTTATTGTTGTTTCAAATTATTCCTCTCCTTTCATATCTGCATTGCCTCCCCCTCACCTATTACTTCAGATATAAAATATGAGAAACTTATTTTGGGTGACCTACCCACCAAGGAAGAGCAAAGATTCAGCCTGACACAAAATAACCCATAATAGGAATCTTGCAAAGTACATACAGTGAATGAATGTAATATACAGCTTACTTAAAAAAATAATAATCTTGAAGTTTTTGATAGAATTATTTGGTGTTTGTGGGACAGGTGTGTGTGTGGGGGGGGGGCGTGTGTGTGTGTGTGTTTAAAATGAATATTTCTTAAAAATCAGCCATTATTCCAGACTTAAATTGGACTTTATTAGCATTAGAATGTCTATTTATTGATAGGATAGTACCTTTTGTAAATTGTTACTCTTCTGAAAGAGATTATCTATTTTCCAGAAGAGAAAGCGAGTGTTTTAGATGGTTAGTAGTTTAGACCTAAGACTGTTGGACTCTAAAGCCCATGTACTTTTTCCTGTACCAAGCTGTCTAATGAATTAACCTTTAACATTCCCTTTATCATTTTCTGCAGTGAAATTGGGAAATTAAAACGTTTATAATTTAGCTGTCTTTTTTTACTTTAGTTTATTTAGAAACCTGTTTGGAGGTTATGGATGATAAACCCAGCCCTGAAGCCCTAAGTGAGAGTTCAGAGCATCTTTTCTCCTTTGGCGTTATTGCAGATGTTCAATATGCTGACTTAGAAGATGGCTTTAATTTCCAAGGAACCAGGCGGCGATACTACAGACATAGTCTTCTTCACTTACAGGGCGCCATTGAAGACTGGAATAATGAAAGCAGCACGCCCTGTTGTGTCCTTCAGCTTGGAGATATCATCGATGGATATAATGCACAGTATAATGCATCCGAAAAGTCCCTAGAACTTGTTATGGACACATTCAAGAGGCTTAAAGTGCCAGTTCATCATACATGGGGAAACCACGAATTCTATAACTTCAGTAGAGAGTATTTAACACACTCTAAACTTAACACTAAGTTTCTAGAAGATCAGATCGTACATCATCCCGAGACCATGCCTTCAGAGGATTATTATGCTTATCATTTTGTACCATTCCCTAAATTCCGGTTCGTTTTACTTGATGCGTATGACTTGAGTGTCTTGGGCATGGATCAGTCTTCTCCAAAATACGAGCAGTGTATGAAGATATTGAGGGAGCACAATCCAAATACGGAACTGAATAGTCCTCAAGGTGAATTATTCCTTTGAGCTGAGAATCTAATAGATTGTCTTTAAATTCTTCAACTACCTTTTATTCAGCAGGAAGATGGACAATTAAGGTAAAAGAATATTGTCACTTGTTCAGGGTCAGGATTTCTCACACGCCTGCTCTCACATGGATTGGTTACAGCTTATTCAAGATTGATTAACAGATATTTTAAATGCCTATTCTAGGCCGGGCACTTTTTCCAGAAGTAGCTATTCTGAGCTGTAAACAATACTAACAATATTAACTTTTTTGATGGATGGAATGGAGGGAGCAAACACAGTAAGTGGGCAAGACATGATAAATGAAACAGAAACAAGGTTATTTCCATGGTCATAAGTGCTGCCAAGGAAATAGCGTATGATGTTATAGAGTGTTGTGGAAAAGGATTAGGGTTACTATTTTAGATTAGGTGATTAGGGAAAGCCTCTCCAAGGAGAAAGATATTTAAGCTGAGACCTAAATGACAAGGAGGAGTCTCCCTGGGAAAGAATGGGCATAGGGAGTTAGCAGACTGAGGGAAAAACATGCACAGGCACTAAATGGAATAAGACTTGAGCACTGTTGAAGAGCACAGGAAAGGGCCAGGGAGGTACAAGATGATTTTGGAGTGTAAACAGGGCCAAGACTATGTAGTGGCTCAGTGGACTTAATAAGAAGTTTGCATTTTTAGTCTAATGGAAAGCCAGCGAAGTAAGCAGGGGACTGTCAAGAGTGAGATGCAGTGTGATGTATTTATATATTTCTCTAAATGCTTGTGATTTCCTATTTTAAGTTGATTATTGCTAATCAGATGTTCGTAAAGAAAAAACAAGTGTCCCTACATTAACTAAATTTGAATGTCCAAATGAGGGGAAAAAATGACTTTTGATGGGTCTAACTTACTGAATTCATTTCAGGACTTTCTGAGCCCCAGTTTGTCCAGTTTAATGGAGGATTCAGCCAAGAACAGCTAAACTGGTTGAATGAAGTGCTTACATTCTCTGACACAAACCAAGAAAAGGTGGTGATTGTGAGTAAGTATTTAAATTATCTGATTACACCAACATTTTAGAGATTGGGAAAAGTTAGGTGTTAAAGCATACTAACAATATTTGTGTTTTGATATCCTCTTTCTATAAAATGGACACTTAGTTTAAACATTTCTATTGAGAAACCACCTGAATATAAGATTAACATTTAAGGATGAAACAGGAAAACGTAAATAACAGAAACATCTTGCCATATATTGGAGCCTGTGAGTTGGTCTTTTAGGTTCAAAGTCGAATTTCCTCAAATGAGATCAGTTTATGAAGTAATTTCTTTTTTAAACATTAATATTATTATTGAAATCATTTTAGATTCGCATGCATTTGTAAGAAATAATTCAGAGCAGTCACTTCTATGCTTTGCTGTTTCCTCCAACGTTAACATTTTGTAAAACTTTAGTATAATATCACTAGCAGAATAGTGACATTAATACGAAAATAAACACTCCAGAAGTTTGGCTTTTTCTAAGTTTTTTTTTTTTTTTAAACCCTCTCTCCATAAGAGAAGCAAGAACCCAAAGGTGAGATGACTTCACCATGATAACTAAGACATAAAAATTACCAAGAAACTTGACTCAAAATTAAAAACAAGCTGAATTCAGCCTGGCCAACATGATGAAAGCCCATCTCTACTAAAAATATTAAAAAAAGTTAGCAGGGCATGGTGGCACGCGCCCTGTAGCTCCAGCTACTTGGGAGGCTGAGGCAGGAGAATTGCATGAACCAGAAGGTGGAGGTTGCAGTGAGCCGAGATCATGCCACTGCACTCCAGCCTGGGTAACAAAGATCTTATCTCAAAAATAAATAAATAAATACATAAATAAAGCCAAGCACAAAGAAAAAACACTGAGCTGAATTCTGAAGTGTGGAATCCAGGATGCAATCAGCTTATAAAGGAGCTTGACGCCACACTAAACAATTTGTTGGTGGAAGTCAGTACCGGGGCGTAGATCTTTTCCTCAAGGTAGGAAGCCCTGAGTTTCTTAAACTCTAATGAAGTAATTTCTAAGTGAGAAATTCCGTTCGGGGACCATACCAAATCTCAGCCTTCGAGACCTGCCTGTCAGCAAAGTGGCCACCAAACAGAGGCCACTGCTGCCTAGATGCAGGAAAATGCATCCCCTGGTATTACAGGGGATGCGGGCTAAAGGCTCAGCTGGCAGGGAGCACTGTGCAGTTCTCTAGCTGTGCCTCCCACAGAGTCACAAGGAAGTTAGATTTGTATAATTTTCATTTAGAATCATTTTTGATGGATACACTGCCATCAGAGATTGTAGGAATCCAGGGGTGCTTAAAACGCGTGTGTGCGCACATGCGCACGTGAAGACACACATACACGGAACTGAATTTGGATTTGCAGCATGATGGGGAGACTTGGATTGGAGGTTGAGATTAGAGCCCTTGGTTTAGAATTAGAATTGATGTGGGGTAACAGGTGAGAAGGCTAGACTGAGAGCCGGAAGGACAGGATGCCATTCTGGCTCTGGTTTATATGAACTGTGTGGGCCTGGGCAAATAGCAAACCTATAAACTGCAGTATTCTCAATAGTGTATCTAATGAAATTATGAATATGAAACCCCTGGCCAAGCACAGTGGCTCATGCCTGTAATCCCAGCACTTTGGGAGGCTGAGGTGGGCGGATCATGAGGTCAGGGTTCGAGACCAGCCTGACCAACATGGTGAAACCCCATCTCTACTAAAAATACAAAAATTAGCCAGACGTGGTGGCAGGTGCCTGTAATCCCAGCTACTTGGGAGGCTGAGGCAGGAGAATCACCTGAAACCAGAAGGTGGAGGTTGCAGTGAGCCAAGATCACCCCACTGCACTCCAGCCTGGGCAACAAGAGTGAAACTCCGTCTCAAAAAAAAAAAAAAAGAAACCCCTTTGAAAATGATAGGCTATTCAGATAGTTGATTATGTAAAACTATATTTCTATCTGTAAAGGTAGTTTTTACTTATTAATCTTCCACTGATGTGGTAAAAACACATAGAAGGAGCAGAAGTGTTTCTGCTACCACTCGAATACCAAATGTCATTCAAGGGTTGGAAGAGATGAGTGCCCTTGGGTTGCTGGAATGATGTGACACCTTTTGGTTCTGTAATAACTGGTCTCAGAAACTAGGATACTTCTTGACTTGTGTCTGCTTTTAAGTTTTCCACTGTCAGCCTGTTCTGGAGCTGAAAGGAAGCTAGAGATCATATAGCAAGCCTTTGAATTGTAAAGATAAGGAAACTGAAGCCCAAAGAGACTGAATTGCATAGCAGAATCATGGAGCTGCTGACAGCACTGAGACTAGAATCCATGCTTTATGTCTCCATCCCCTTTCCCATGTGATCCTGTGTTCTTCCCTTTTCTTTTTACTCATGGCGGTACACCTATCTAGCTTAGCAGTCTCTTAAATTTCTTCTACCATTTGATGTAAGCCTAGAAACTGGAAAGGCAAACTTTTAAAAACGGAATGATTGAAGTTTTCTTTAGTAAAATTTAAAAGTTAAAGTGTAATAGACATTTTCTTTTGCTTTTTAACTTTCATGGTAGCTACTCCGAGGTCACCCTACGTTTTGAATTTTAGCCATGCAGTTGGAAGGATAGAATTGCCATTAGCTAAGATAGGGGACACGGCAGGATGAGGGGTGTGAGTGGAGAGGGCAGGGGTTCAGGTTTGGAAATAGAAGTTTCAGATGCCTACCAGACATCAGTGGAGATGTTGAGTGGGCAGTTTAGACATTAGAAGTCTGAAATTCAGAATAGAGATTTGGGCTAGATAATAAATGTGGAAGTTGAAAGAATATAGATGACATTTAAGGCATATAAATCACTAAGAGATCACCAATGCATTAGGTATAAATAGAGAAGTCCGAAGACCAAGCATTCAGGTACTCCTGGTAAGACGTTGGGGAAATGAGGGGCAACTGGCAAAGGAGACTGGAAATTAGTGGCCATCGAAGTTGGGGAAAAACTAGAAAGACACCACTAGGGGAAACAGTGGGGTCCTGGAATCCAAGCGTTTCAGGGAGACGGGACAACTAATTGTGTCAAATGCTGCAGGGACTTGATAGATGAGTCAGTATGGCTTTGAGGTGCTGGAAAGCTGCACGCGCCTTTGGACGCTTAGCCCTTAGGTGGTACTCAGCGCGTGTATGCACTTTAAAAAAAAAAAAACAACAACTTGTATTACAGATATTAAGTAGAAGCATGTTTAAATTTTAGAATAAAAACGAACAATAGAAAAAAGTGATTTAATGGGAAGGTGCAACGTGAGCTGTACTTCAGAGTGAGAACCGTGGCTTGATCATAGATGTGTTGCTGTTAGAAATTCCAACTTCTCCTCACTCTACTTCCACATATCTCCTGTGGACGCCAGTATAAATCTTCCCTGTTTTAACTGTTTTTCATCTGTAAAGTGGGTATGGTTACCTTGATCTCATGGGTGTTTGAAGTCTCACAAATCAGTTCTGAGACATTGTTTATGTCAGTGACACATGATCCATGGCCCATCCCTAAACTGTTTGTTTATTTATTTATATTTACATTTTTTGAGACGCAGTCTCCCTTTGTCACCCAGGCTGAAGTGTGGTAGTGTGATCTTGGCTCACTGCAACCTCCACCTGCTGGGTTCAAGCAGTTCTTCTGCCTCAGCCTCCCGAGTAGCTGGGACTACAGGCACCCACCACCATGCCTGGCTGATTTTTATATTTTTAGTAGAAACAGGTTTCACCATGTTGTCCAGGCTGGTCTTGAACTCCTGGCCTCAGGTGATCCAGCTGCCTTGGCCTCCCAAAGTGTTGGGATTACAGGCGTGAGCCACCACACCCAGCCTGCTCTTTAATTATTTAGTGTTAAATCATTCTATGTATATAACATTCATATTTAAGGAAATCAATGGGATTGGATTCCAGCACAGCACCTGTCCAATTTCGGGCTGCCTTTGCAGACTGCCCTGCATAGGACACCCTCGATCTTCCTCAGTGTTTGGGCAGCTTGAGACGACGTAGGCCTCAGAGATTCAGGGTTTTGCCTCTGCAGCAGCCTGTCGCACCTCATGTGAACTGTCTCACCCTTCTAAGCTCCAGAGACGTGGCTGTAGATGGCCTAGTTTTCTCATGTGTGTGAATTCTCTCTGGTCTCAGTTCATTTGCATAATGAGATAGCAATTTTTTTTCTTTTTCTGAGTATTAACTTTCAGCCATTTATTTTTATAGAAGAGATATTTCTTGGCTTATAACTCTTCTTTTCTTTAACTAACAGGCCATCTTCCCATTTACCCAGACGCCTCTGACAGTGTGTGCCTGGCCTGGAACTACAGAGATGCCCTGGCAGTCATTTGGTCTCATGAGTGCGTGGTGTGTTTCTTTGCTGGTCACACCCATGATGGTGGCTACTCTGAGGATCCTTTTGGTGTATATCACGTCAGCCTAGAAGGAGTTATTGAAACAGCTCCAGACAGCCAAGCGTTTGGCACAGTTCATGTCTATCCTGACAAAATGACGTTGAAAGGGAGAGGCAGAGTTCCAGACAGAATTATGAATTACAAGAAAGAAAGAGCCGTCCATTGTTAGTCTAATTTATTTTGTTTAACTTGATAGAAAATGAGCTTTGTATGTGTTTGTCCCTCCTAAACAAAAAAATAAAAATCCTCTGTCTCATTGTTTAGTATTTAGCTTGCATAACAAAATATATTTATAGTTTCAGTGTGTGTTGGTTGATAAAATACTCAGAAATGTTATTTTGGCTCATGTATCCATTTTAAGTTAGAAACAAACCAGGGAGGAGACTGAGGCAGGGGCGAATAGTCTTTGTAAGGGGCATATAGTCCTCCTGAGGGATTTTATTTGGCCTTACCTGATTCTTTTTTAACTTTTTACAAGGAGAATGTATTTACATGTATTAACTATGTAACTTCAAGTTCACCATATAAGCTCAGGTAAACTTTCTATTCACCCTGCTGTGTAAATGAGCTTTGCAGAATTTTTGTTCAGAACATGTATACTTGGATTTTTGTAGGCTTGTATTCCCATTTTGTAAACAAAATTACCAAGAGTTATTTCACGGGTAAGCATGTGGCGCTCCCATCCCTGTAAGAAGGGCCTCCAGAAAAGTCATGTAGTCCTCTTGGGATTCGTAGGACCAAGTGGCAGTGCAGCCATGTGCCAGCCAGTTTGGTCTGTTTGGGCCACCAACCACTGCTGTGTGAAGCTACAGCAGGTAAATGAATTTACACTGACTCCCTTTAAACACTAATGGGACATGTTTAACACCGTTTTCATATATGCTAAGGCTTATGTGCAGAAACACTAGATGGCAAATGGGAACTATTCAGATGTAGAGTAAGTATGATTCAGGGCCTAAACAACTATAAGAAATAAGCATGCCTGTTGAATACATGGGCACTATAGGGATATAAAGGAGTATTAGCTTTCTATGGCTGCTGTAACAAATTCCCACAGACCTGTGGCTTAAATCAACACATACTTGTTCTCTTGCAGTTCTGGAGGTCAGAAGTCTGAAGTCATTTCCACTTGGCTGAAACCAAGGCATTGGCAGGGCCGTGCTCCCTGAGGAGGGTCTAGGAGGAATCCTCTTCAGCCTCCAGAGCTGTACTTCTTGCATTCTGTGGATCATGGCCCCTTCTTCTATCTTCAAAGCCAGCAGCGTAGCATCTTCAGATCTTTCTTCACTGTCGTATCATATTCTCTGCTCTCCGTAGTCAGATCTACTTCAGCCTTTGTCTTGCAAGGACACTTACAGTAACATTTAGGGCCCATCCAGGTAAACCCCATCTCAGGATGGCTTAATCACAGCTGCAAAATTTATTTTGTGCTATAAGGTAACATAGGTTCCAGGGATTAGGACATGGATCTCTTTGAGGGCCGTTGTTCAGCTGACCAGAGGTGAGTATAATGTACTCTTGCACTCATAGATCTTACCATGAATTGGACATCCATCATTCAAATGTGTGAAATTTGCTGTTACACAAAGAAAGGACTGAGGGAACATGGAAGAGGAATTTAATTTTGTTCGAAGGGATTGGGGATGACATACAAAATGTAGAAAAATGACTTAAATAAGTGGGGAAGAGTATATCAAGTAGAATAGCAAAAGCAGAGGCATCGAAGGATATGCCAAAGTTAGACATGGCCAGTCATGCTGTGACGATTCACCAAAAAGGTGCCGGGCTGGGGGCAGGGGGATATGGCAAGAAATACGGCAGAAAAGGGCAGGCTGGGGCTATATTATGGAGAGCCTTGAATGATGAGCCAAGAGTTAGAATTTAACTTGTCAGATAGTGTGGAGCCCTTGGAGCTTTCTGAGCTGGGGAAATACATGATTAGATTTGTGTGAAATAGAGAACAATGGAAGAAAAATGTGAAGGTGAGAAAGATTTTAATAACAGAGGCTGGGCATGGTGGCTCACGCCTATAATCCCAGCACTTTGGGAGGCCGAGGTGGGTGGATCACTTGAGGTCAGGAGTTCCGGACCAGCCTGGCCAACATGGTGAAACCCCGTCTCTACTAAAAACACAAAAATTACCTGGGCATGGTGGCAGGTGCCTGTAGTCCCAGCTACTTGGGAGGCTGAGGCAGGAGAATCGCTTGAACCCAGGAGGTAGAGATTGCAGTGAGCTGAGATCGCGCCACTGCACTCCAGCCTGGGGGACAGAGCAAGACTCCATCTCAAAAAAAAAGATTTTAATAGAAATATTAAATTTAATAATACTTAAATTCAATTTCATTAATAAAGACTTCAGGCCGGGCACGGTGGCTCAAGCCTGTAATCCCAGCACTTTGGGAGGCCGAGACGGGCAGATCACGAGGTCAGGAGATCGAGACCATCCTGGCTAACATGGTGAAACCCCGTCTCTACTAAAAAATACAAAAAACTAGCCAGGCGAGGTGGCGGGTGCCTGTAGTCCCAGCTACTCGGAAGGCTGAGAGGCAGGAGAATGGCGTAAACCCGGGAGGCGGAGCTTGCAGTGAGCTGAGATCCGGCCACTGCACTCCAACCTGGGTGACAGAGTGAGACTCTGTCTCCAAAAAAAAAAAAAAAGTTGCCATCCAGATGCTTAAATATAGGACTGTCCAACAGAAATGCAATGTAGGCCACGCAAATAAAAGTAAACAGAAACAGATAAAATCAACTTAACGGTATATTTAACCCAATATAGCCAAAATACTGTTTCAACATGTAATCAATACAAAAAATATTTTACATTCTTTTGCTACCCATGTCTTTAAAATCCAGTGTATTTTACATTTAAAGCCCCCCTCATTTGGACAATAAAATTTCACTGAAAATACTGTATCTGTATTTAGGTATCATAAAATTTGCAATTGGAAAGTTAGATTCAAATACCCAAGTTGTTCTAAACACGGTAAGTTTTCTAATCATCAAGTACCCATTTTAAAATGAAAATGGAAATGAAAAAACAAAACCTCTCCTCCCTAGGGTTACTTTGGACATCCATTTGTAAAGAATGTGTATAGATTTTGACCTTATTTCTCATTTAGAAGGTACTTATATTCCCTATTTCCTTCCTGATTGGTCCCTAATTCCTTTATTCTATCCAGCTTCCCTTTCTTTCCAAGACATGCCTGCTCATTTGGTTCATCTAGAGTTCTCCTTGAGTTCACTGCACTGTGCCAGATCTGGATAAGATTAGTTTAGGGCTGGGCTAGGCATGGTGGCTCACACCTGTAATCCCAGCACTTTGGGAGGCTGAGGTGGACAGGTCGCTTGAACTCAGAAGTTCAAGACCAGCATGGGCAACTTGGCAAAACCCTGTCTCTACGAAGAATTTAAAAAAAAACTAGCCAGGCGTGGTGGTGCACACTTGTAGTCCTAGCTCTTTGGGAGGCTGAGGTAGGAGATCACCTGAGCCCCGGGAGGTCCAGACTGCAGTGGGCCATGATCATACCACTGCACTCCAGCCTGGGCAACACAGTGAGACTGTCTTAAAAAAAAGAAAGAAAGAAAGATCGAGGTATAGCCCTCTCTTGAACCTCTATTTCAGTATATTACCCAATCCCTGCTCCCCTCTATTTTAATCATGGACAGCCCTCCGTAATCTTTCCGAATACTTTATATCTTCAGAGTGTTCTTACATTATCTAGATTGATCCTTGCTACTGTATAAGTAAGTAGATGTGGCATTAATCCTATGTTATAAAGAAATATCCACTAAGAGGTTTATATATTTGCCCAAATTACATAGTTACAAAGTTGAGTTAGAACTCGTATTTTTAAACTTCTATTCTCTAGCCTTTTCCACTACATTATGACACAAGACCCTGCAGAAAGTCTTCCGAAAATATCAGACTGTCTCTGACTTGTCCCATCCAATCTTATATCAAATTATACGCACCCTTAAAAAGTTATTTGGAGTTTTAAAAAACTCTATTAGCCCAAATTACCTAAAATAAACTCCCTGGCTTGTTCCTCTAATGTTTATAAAAAATTGATTGAAAATATTCATTTTAAAAACAAAGTTCTTGAATTTATTTAAATTACTGTCTTGCAATGAGTTGGCCAGGAGGACCGCATTTCCTTGTTAATATATATGTAGACCCATGAAATAAATGGGAAAAGTGTGATTACAATGGCAATAGCCAACTGAATTCTTCCACCAACTGGAGTCCTATAAAGACACAAAAATTATTATAAATAAAAATCCAGTAAAAATTACGGATTGCTTTGGAAACAAGTATAAAGACTGAATTGATAAAACACATAATTACATTTTAGTATATTATCATCTCAGTTGTTTTATTGAAATATAACTCATTGATTTATAGAAATTAATTATATATATGCTAAATATAAATCCTTGTTTATATGTGTTACAAATACCTGGTCCCACTTGATGTCTTTTGAGGAAGTCAATGATTAATTTGACAGTGTTAAAGTTGATCTTTTCCTAATGATTTTTGTGTTCTGTTTAAGAATTTCCCTCACCAAAGTCTTGAAGGTATTATATTCTCTAGAAGTTTTATTGTTTTTTACCACATATTTATTAAAGACATTTATAGTTTGTTAAAAAATACTGCCCTGATATACACAACATTTTCTTGATAATGGTAATTAAAAACTACCCCCACCCTGCCATGTTCACACCAATATTCAATTTAGATTGGTTTAATCTTGAAGTGTAATCCAGTAAGACTGAAGACCAAACACTTCAGGTCCTGGGCATAGATAATAAAATACTCGTAAGCCCTCCAGATCCTTGGATTGATTTACATCAATAAGGGAACCAATTTTTGATGTTGTAAAAGAAATGTGTTCATCTCCAATAACGATTTCAAGCTCCTGCCAGCCCACTTGGTTGGGAGGAGGCCATAATGCATCATCCTCTTTGATAATTTCCCTGTCATAAATTATACTCTTCAGTTCCTCCATCACACTTTTATGTACATAAGCCTCTTTTCTGATCATGACATCATTCTTACAATTGCTGTTGTTGGCTTATCTTAATTTCCCGTCTGGTCAGAACTCAAACTCCAGAAACTCGTGGCTGAACTTGCCCTTGTGCCCCACGTAGTAATGTAGATAAAAGTCACTCTGGATGGCTTGCAAAAGACAACCGAGACCGAACTTCTAAGAGAAAGCCGCACCTCCACGGTCTGTGCCTGACACTCTGTTTTGCTTTTTTATGATAGATCTGTGATCCCCTTGGAATTGATTTTTATGAAAGTTGTGAAGTAGGGGTTGTTTCACTTTTTTCCAAATGGATATTGAATTTATCCAAGCCTATTTATTGAAAAGACTGCCTTAGATACCGTGAAGTACTATCTTTGTCATAAGTCTAAACTCTACATATGTATAGATCCGTTTCTAAATTCTACTGTTCTATCATTTTATTTATTCATCCTTTTGTCATTATATGTTTAGCCCTCCAATTATTTAGGTCTTCTTCAATTTCTCCCATAATGTGTTCTAGTTTTATGTGTAGAGATTTTGCATATCTCTGCTAGATTTATTCCTAGGGAGTTGATTTTCTGAATGTTTTTATAAATGTTAACTTTTTGTTTTATCACTTTCTGTTACTTGCTGAAAGAAATGCAGTTAATTCTTGTGTCCTGATCCAGTGATCATATAAAACTCACTTATTCTAGTGATTTCTTAGATTCTTTTTTATTTTCTACATATGTATTCATATCACCTACAAATCGTAAAAATTTTATTTCTTCTTGTCCAATCCTTGGGCGTTTTATTTCTTTCTCTTGCCTTATTTTACCAGCTGGGACAATAGCTAGCATGGCATTGAGTACATATGGCCAACCTCATCTCATTCCTGATCTCAGAGGGAAAGTTTTCAACTGTTCACCATTAAGTCTCAGGCTTCAGTGTGGATCTCTTCTATCAGGCTAAGTTCCCTCCTATGCCCATTTTCTGAGAGCTTTTAACATGAATGGATGCTGAATTTTATGAAATGCTATTTCTGTATGAATCTACAAGATAGTTTATTTTCTTCTTTCATTCCATTAATGTGGTGGAAAACATTGGTTGGTTTTTCAAAATGTGAAACTAACTTTGCATTCCTAGAATAAACCCAACTTGGTGGTTGGGTTATATATTGCAGGATATGATTTGCTAATATGTTGTTTAGTTTTCCATCTGTGCTCATGAGTGAGACTGACATGTAATTTCATTTTTTTGTCATGTTCTTGTCAAGTTTAGGTTACCTGTCCTCATAAAATTAGTTGGAAAGTGTTTCTTCTTTTTCTGTTCTCTGGAAGTATTTATTGAAAGTTGGTATTATTTTTTTCCTTAAATATTAGGTAGACTTCTCCAGTTATGCCATCTAGGTTTAGAGTTTTCCTTTAGGAAAAATTTAAATTATGAACTCTATTTTTTTTTTTTTTTTTTGAGATGGAGTTTCATTCTTGTCGCCCAGGCTGGAGTGCAATGGCGCGATGTTGGCTCACTGCAACCTCCACCTCCTGGGTTCAAGCGATTCTCCTGCTTCAGCCTCCTGAGTAGCTAGGATTACAGGCGCCTGCCACCACGCCCAACTCATTTTTTGTATTTTTAGTAGAGATGGGGTTTCACCATGTTAGCCAGGATGGTCTCAAACTCCTCACCTCAGGTGATCAGCCCACCTCAGCCTCCCAAAGTGCTGGGATTACAGGCGTGAGCCACTGCACCCAGCCCTATGAACTCAATTTCTTTAATAGTTATGGGACTGTTCTGAGTATTTCTTCTTGTGTAAATGTTGGTAAACTGTATTTTTTCAAGAAATTTGTCTATATTTTCAAATTTATTGGTGTAAAGTTCTTCATAATATCCACTTATGATTTTTACAATACTTATTAGATATATAGTAGTAGTCTCTTTTTTATTCCTGATATTTGTTATTTTTATTTCCTCACGCTCTTTTTTCCTTTTTGTCTTGTCAAGGCTTATCAATGTTATAAATCATTTTAGAGAATCAATATTTGACCTTGTTAATCCTCTATTTTTATGTTGATTTTCTTATTTCACTGACTTCTGCTTTTATATTTATTTTCTTCTTGTTTCTTTGGGGTTTAACTTGCTGTTCTTTTCCTAACTTCTTGAAATGAAAAATTCCTAACTTGCTGGAAAAAAATGTACTTATGGCTATATGTTTCCCTCTAAGCAAGATTTTTAGCTGCATCTCACACATTTTGATACGTAGTATTTACCTTATTCAGTTCAAAATATTTTCTAATTTCTGTTGTGATTTCTTCTTTGACCCAAGTGTTATTTGAAAGTGTATTTCCTAACTTCCAAATATACAGGAATTGCCTAATTATCTTTTTGTTAATGATTTTTAGTTTAATTGCACTGTGGTCAAATAACATACTCTGTAGGATTTCAGTCCTTTGAAATTTGTTGGTACTTATTTCATGGCCAAACATACAGTCTTTTTGTAAAATACTGAATGTGCACTTGAAAAGAATGTGTATCCTGCCATTCTTGGTTTATTGTGTGGTTAAAATCTTTTATATCGTTATTTTTCTTTTTTGTGTTTGTTTGTTAGTAACTGAGAGAAGTGTGTTAGTCTCCCAAGATGACTGTGGCTTTTTCCATTTTTCCTCTTAGTTCTGTCATTTTTTGTTGTATTTATTTGGTGGCTATATTATTAGGTCCATAGAAATTTAGCACTGTTATGTCTTCTTGATGAACTGAACCTTTTGTCATTGAAAAGTGTCTTCCTTCGGCATCTTAAATCTACTTTCTAACAAGTGATGTTGAGATAACCAGATAGCCACATAGAAAAATATAAAATTAGACCTGTTCTTCATACCATTACACCAGGATAAATTCTAAACAGATCAAATATTTAAATGTATAAATGAAACCATGCAGGTATTAGAAGAAAACTTAGGTAAGTTACTTTACAACCCTAGAGAGAGAAGTTTTCCTAACTATGACTCCAAATCCAGAAGCAATAAGGAAAAGGACCGATAAATATAATTACATGAAAAAAACAACAACAAAAGACTTTTTCATGGCAAAATATACTTTGCATAAGCAAAGTTAAAGGAAAATAACACACTGCAAAGAAATATTTTCAGCTTACATCACAGATAGAGCTTCTAAAAATAGAGAAGACCAGCAACCTTAGAATCAGGTTAAACCTACGTTGCTCAGAGATATACCAAGATTTTTATAGAAAAAGAAATATAAATGGCTCTTAACCATATGAAAATGTGTTCACTTTTGCTCTTAATAAGAGAAATGCAAGGTAAAACTACCCCTTTCTCAACTATCCAATTAGTAAAAATTCAAGATTTTGATAACGTACTCTGTTGGCAAGGCTATGGGGAAACAGACACTGTTAGCCATGGCTGGTGGGGATGCAAAATGGAAGAGCCATCTGGAGGGGAATTTGGGAGTACATAGAAATATTAACTATGCAATTACACTTTGACCCAGCACCTCTCACTTCCAGGAATTCATCTCAAAGACACGCTGGTAAAAATATGTTAGATATATGCATATGGCTATTAATTGCAGCACTATTTTTCATAGCAAAAGCCTGGGTACTATCTAAATAGTAGAGGACTGGTTGATTAAGCTATGGAGCCATCAGCAGAGTAAGAAAAGTTGTTCTATACTATAGAATGATCTCTAGGATGTAGGAACTGGTAAAGCAAGTGGAATACAACTGTGTACAATACACTGCCAGTTACCTAAGATAAGCAGGAATACAACGAAGTCACACATGTGCTCCACTGAGAAATCGTGGAAGGATAAACTATAAAACTGAAAAAAGTTTCCCCCATAGGGAAAGGGAAGACATAGGGTCAGGGGGATGGAGAAGCTAGATTTCTTTTAATATATCTTATTTTATAGATTCAACTTTTGAGCCACGTAGATATTTTATATAATTATAAAATAATATCCATATATTTTCAATACAATTAGCCCTAGAAATAAATGAACCTAACTGTGTATTCACTTGGTGGCATTAGCATACAAAACAACTACACCCAGTAATTTGAGTATATACATTCCTTTAGTAGGTTATACCTTAATAACAAAAACAAAGAAAAGAACCTGTTTTTGGTAGTCATATTATTATTTTGAGTTTGCGTTTGTATTGTAGAAATCAAATGGGTGACTATATTGAGATCACTGAGACTAGAGGTTTTGCCATGATTAAAAGGAGATACAGATATAAAATATCCAATAAGGTTAATGAGAACTGGTATTTCTGAATTTTAGTAGTTAGGATAAACTCATATTTTAAGTGTATATGTGTACATGTATATATATATCTATGTATGCATATACATTTATGACATATATATAAATTCATAAACATTGCAAACACTGTTGATTCCAGGTCTGTGGCCCAAAACATGATCCTGGGTATAACATGCGCCTGGAATATCTTGTCATACCAGAAAGCAAGGAAGCTATCAAACGTTTACTAGGGTCATGTCAGAATTCAGGAGCAAACCTGAATAAGTGCCACTGGTCAAAAATGGGACAGTCTGAGCATCAATAAAGACAATAACTGTCATGGACTGAAACACATCACATATGTTTAAATCAGCCGGGCGCGGTGGCTCATGCCTGTAATCCCAGAACTTTGGGAGACCAAGGTGGGCAGATCGCCTGAGGTCAGGAGTTCGAGATCAGGCTGGCCAACATGATGAAACCCCGTCTCTACTAAAAATACAAAAATTAGCTGGGCATGGTGGTGCATGCCTGTAATCCCAGCCACTCGGGAGGCTGAGGCAGGAGAATCGCTTGAACTCAGGAAGCAGCGGTTGCAGTGAGTCGAGATCGTGCCACTGCACTCCAGCCTGGGTGACAGAGGGAGACTCTGTCTCAAAAAAAAAAAAAAAAAAAGAAAAGAAAAAGAAAAATATGATTACATGCATAACTTTTTAATGGTACTAAACAAAGAAATAAAGCAACAAAACTCACTGGTCACCTTTGGAGGATGCCCAGGTAAGAAACAATACATTTTAAAAACTGGTAACTAGGCCGGGCACGGTGGCTCATACTTGTAATCCCAGCACTTCAGGAGGCTGAGGTGGGTGGATCACCTGAGGTCAGGAGTTCAATACCAGCCTGGCCAACATTGCCAAACCCTGCCTCTGCTAAAAATACAAAAATTAGCCAGGCATGGCGGCACACACCTGTAGTCCCAGCTACTTGGGAGGCTGAGGCAGGAGAATCGCTTGAACCCGGGAGGCGGAGTTTGCAGTTGCAGTGAGCCAAGATCTTGCCACTGCACTCCAGCCTGGGCGACAGAATGAGACTTTGTCTCAAATAAAAAGAAAACTGGTAACTAAGGGAGAGAATCAGCTGCTTTTCATTTCACTTTCTTCTGATGATCTGTACTCTAGCATGGCCAAAGGATAAATAAGTGGACATTTTTCTTTATGGAAGTTTTCCAGCTAATAAACAAGTAGTGATATATTATCATTAGAATATCACAGTTTTGCAACCAAAATGAACTAATGGATTTAGGCAATACTCATCAAAGACTATTAACATCACGGATAAGCAGCTAGGTGTTAGGTATATTATGATGGGAGTACATAATGCCATTACTTAACATGAAGTAGTGAATACTTAACATGAAGTAGTCAATAATACCAGAATCTGGTCAAGCCTCTAGATCTAACCACCAATTTATAGGAAACATAAGGTGCAGAAGGACAGACATTTAAAACTCACAATACCGAAGTTATTTCTTCATTTTTTGTATGATCATGGTAGAGTGGTTAGTTTTTAAGTACTTATCTTTTAGAGATACATTCTGACATACAAAGGAAACAATGTGATGTCTGGGATTTATTTCAAAATACTTTAGCAAGCCAGGCACAGTGGCTCACACCTGTAATCCCAGCATTTTGGGAGGCTGAGGCAGGCGGATCACTTGAGGTCAGGAGTTCAAGACCAGCCTGGCCAACATGGTGAAACCCCGTCTCTACTTAAAACACAAAAATGAGTTGGGTGTGGTGGCATGTACCTGTAATCCCAGCTACTTGAGAGGCTCAGGCAGGAGAATCACTTGAACCTGGGAGGCAGAGGTAGCAGTGAGCCGAGATTGCGCCACTGCACTCCAGTCTGGGCAACAGAGCGAGACCGTCTCAAAAAAAAAGAAAAAAAAAAAGTTTGGCAGTGTGGCGTGGATAAGGTTTAGATAAAACAAGATTGGATATACCAATAATCATTGAAGCTGGGTGATGAGTACATCTGATTCACTATATTAGTCTCTCTGCTTTTATATATGTTTGAAAATTCCCAGTAAAAAGTTAAAATGAAAAAAATTAAAAATATTCACAAAAAGTTGTTTTTCGCCAATAATTGCCTTAAATTCTACTTTGTTGTTAAAATTGCAATACTGTATTTCATTTGGCTGGTGTTTGTAATTTTTTTCATCTTTTGACTTTAAATCTTTTTATATCAGTATAGTTAAGGGTTTTCTTTTGTAAGCAGTGTAGAGCTGGGTCTTCCTTTTTTTTTTTTTTTTTTTTTTGAGATGGAGTCACGCAGGCTGGAGTGCAATACTGCTATCTCAGCTCACTGCAACCTCCGAGTCCCGGGTTCAAGCGATTCTCTTGCCTCAGCCTCCCAAGTAGCTGGGATTACAGGCGACCGCCACCACACCTGGCTAATTATTTTGTATTTTCAGTAGAGATGGGGTTTCACCATGTTGGCCAGGCTGGTCTCGAACTCCTGACCTCAGGTGATCTGCCCGCCTCAGCCTCCCAAAGTGCTGAGATTACAGGTGTGAGCCACCTTGCCCGGCCTAGAGTTGGGTTTTTAATCTTTTTATACACTTTGAAATTCTTTGACTCTTAACTGAAATCTTTACCTTTACATTTAATGTAATTTCTGATATCTTTGCATTTAAATCTGTATCTTAACACACACTTCCTATTTGTCCCATTGTTTCTGTTTCCCCTTCCCCTTCTCCTGCCTTCTGTACTCATTTTGATGCTCAGTGGTTACCCTAACAATTACAACATGAATCCTTGACTTATCAAAATCTAATATAAATGGATACTTTTACCTCATCTCACACAATTAAAGGACCTTCGAAGGCTTAAACTCCATTTACTCTTTTCCAGCTTTTATGCCACTGTTGTCGTGTATTTCTATCCTGTATATGTTTAATTAGTTAATATTCATTGATATGTACACATGCATTTATATTGTCTTTGCTCTTCATTCTTTCCTGAATCTCTAAGTTTCCTCCTGAGATCATTTTCCTTCACCCTGAAGAACACCCTAGACTGACAACTGCCCATGACTACACTGGGCCTTGTAGAAAACTACGGTTTTTGTGGACAAGAGTGACCATGACACTGTAAATCAACTATTATTAACTTCCCTTAAGAAAAGGGAAGATTTCTTTCAAAAGATTCCTGTTTTTACTTGTATGGCAGTATTTTCACTTACTACCTGATTTTATCAGACTTGAAGATATGATTCCTTTTTTTTTTTTCCTTTGAGACACAGTCTTGCTCTGTCACCCAGGCCAGAGTACAGTGGCGTGATTAAGGCTCACTGCAACCTCTGTCTCCCGGGTTCAAGTGATTCTCCTGCCTCAGCCTCCTGAGTAGCTGGGACTACAGGCGCCCGCCACCACGCCGGGCTAATTTTTTATATTTTAGTAGAGACGGGGTTTCACCACGTTGGTCAGGATGGTCTCGATCTCCTGACCTCATCATTTGTCCACCTCGGCCTCCCAAAGTGAAGATGTGATTTTAACTAATGAGTTGAATACTTACTTTGAGGAACTGCGGCACAGGATAATCCATGCTGTAATAATCACCAGACCACACAGCTCCCTATAAAAGGGCGTACATTTCAGATTTTGGAAGTGGCTACAAGTGAGATGGATATCATCACATTCTCTCCAGGACCACCTGATAGCGCATTCTGATCAAATGACTCTCCCTCAAGATCTATGGCATCGATGGAATATTTTCAAGTCTGACCATGATTCAAACATTACTTTTTTCAGATAATTTAAAGCCTTGTATGAAAATACATTTCATCTTAAAAGGCAGATATGAGATCCCTGACTGTGCCCTGATTTATAAGTGGATCCCCCCAAAATGAAATGAATATTTTTAAAAATCCACAGATATATCACTTTTTTCAGGTCGCTGGAAGAAACAGTGCAACTAAGAAAATCCAGATTTGATCAGTCAATACTTTTACATTTTTTTTTTTTCTGAGACGGAGTCTCGCTCTGTCGCCCAGGCTGGAGTGCAGTGGCGCGATCTCGGCTCACTGCAAGCTCCGCCTCGCGGGTTCACGCCATTCTCCTGCCTCAGGCTCCTGAGTAGCTGGGACTCCAGGCCCCTGCCACCAGGCCCAGCTAATTTTTTGTATTTTTAGTAGAGATGGGGTTTCACCGTGTTAGCCAGGATGGTCTTGATCTCCTGACCTTGTGATCCGCCAGCCTCGGCCTCCCAAAGTGCTGGGATTATAGGCGTGAGCCACCGCGCCTGGCCAATACTTTTACATTTTTAAAGAGGCTTCAGTGTGAGGCAGAATGAGCCCAAACCAATATGTAATCTGTGTATATACTATAAGAGATTGGGTCATTTCTTAGGGGAGAGGAATGATTTGTAGTACAAATCAGACTAATAATTTGGAGGTGGGTATATGCTTCTATATATATGTATTAGACACACATATCTTTTATGTAGAATAAAAAACAATCACTTCAGCCATAGTACCACTAGAAGCCCCACCCTGAGTTCACTATAACCCATGGGCTTCATGCTGGAAGTGATTTAACCCATTTGGTCTACATTCTCATCTACAGACCCAACCTATAGATTGGCCCTCCAGTGTTCTGAAGATTGGGGATTATAACAAAGAAGCACCTTTTCAGTGATGTTTAACTTACAGGTCTATGAATTTTGTTGTTGGCAGATGTCAGCAGGAGTAGAAAAGAAAGGAAAGGCTCTATTAATAAGTCCTCGGAGACAAGGGTGGGAGGAAGCAAAGGAAGAAGTGATAACATAGGAGCAAGTGGTCATGACAAGGAAATGATACAAGACATACCAGGGCAAGCCTAACAGGTTGACTTAAAGTTTTGATCTCTAGGCTGGGCACGGTGGCTCATGCCTGTAATCCCAGCACTTTGGGAGGCCAAGGAGGGTGGATCATGAGGTCAGAAGTTCAAGACCAGCCTGACCAACATGATGAAACCCTGTATCTACTAAAGATACAAAAATTAGCTGGCCGTGGTGGCGCACTCCTGTAATCCCAGCTACTCAGGAGGCTGAGGCAGAAGAATAGCTTGAACCTGAGAGACAGATGTTGCAGTGAGCAGAGATCATGCCACTGCACTCCAGCCTGGGTGACAGAGCAAGTCTCCGTTTAAAGAAAAAAAAGTAATGACCTCTGGGATAGCTGATCACACTCGTAGATAAGATTCTGCCTTAAACCAGAACTGAATCAGAGGCTGACAGAGTTATCATCATATTAGATCGGACTGAGTATTACTGTATAATACCCTTGCTAGTTACAAGGGGGCCAAAGTCCAACGGCCTGACAGTAATATAATATAATATGTAATGACTGCCAGTGGCAGTGATAATGAAGTCTGATAGATGGGACTGGGTTTGAATCCCCACTCCATTATTTCCTCAATTTCATCAGCTTATAAAAAAGAATACCTTCCCTGCTCCGCAGGGTACATTGGGGGAATTGAGTTACCATTGTGCTCAGATGGGGTGTTGCAAACAAGATTCCTCAGTTCCAGCCCACAGTTCTATCCCTCCACAGGGCAAACATCACCGCTCACCTGCCTTCTTCCTCATGTAAGATGTTCTGTTGTGTATGACGCAAGAGGTAGTACGCCAAGCCAACAGCCCACACCATACAAAAGAGTATGTGTATTGCAGAGATACCTTTCCAAATAACATTACCTAAAAATAGACGTCCTGATGTTGTTAATCGTGGAACCACAGCCCACAGAAAAAATATGATCTTTTTGTATGTTTTGCCATAGTCTGCTTTCAAAAAACACATTCAGACCCTCTCACCCCCATCGCCCTTTTTTTTTTTTTTTTTTTAGGACAACACAGAGGTCATAGCACTGATTATAAACTTCAGTGGCCATTTCTTGTTTGGGTTGCTCAGCAGCTCCCCTTCCTAAGACGATTACCCTTATTTTCTTTGGGGATGCACCATGTCCACACTCCCAGTCCATGTTTCCCAACAAACTGGACTTTGGCTAGGTCAATCAATGTATGTTATCTCCTCAGCCACAGTGATTTGGATCAGCACAAACGGACAAGCAATCAGAGCCAGCGACTGCATTCTGAGACTTTGGTAGAGTGAAGAAACACAGTCCATATTCCACTGGACGTGGTATCGTGAAGATGTGAACAGGGGCTGCAGGGCCACTGTGTGGAGCCCAAGAGTGAAGTCAACATGACAGACGGTGGAACTGAGAGGTGGAGAGAAGTTAAAAGTTCCGAGTCCACCAGCCTAAAGCCAGCACCACCCCTCACCTTTTTCAGTAAACTGGACCAATGCCTTTTCTTCTTAGCTCATAGCACATTTGAGTTCTTTTTCTAGCTTGTATCTAAAGAGGCCCTAACTGATCTACCTTAAAGATGCAGATGGAATTCTAGCTCCGTACATCTCCATACGGGGAGCCCAGGCATCTAGGGAATTAGAATTTTCCCCACCAAGGTGAGACTCATTAGTCTTTATTCTAAGGCCCCTGAGAACATTTGAGCCCCACTAGGAGAAATGATTTTAAAGAAAGTGAAGAAGAATCTGTCCTGTCACTTCGGTAAAACAGAAGACGCTGTTTTATAGCAGATCCTTCTGACATTTTCCTGGAGATGGGTAAAGATGATTAGAATTAGCCCCTCTTATTATCAGAAATGAGAAAAAAGGTCTAGAGAGCCCCGTTTTACTTCTGGGAGTTGGGCAGATAGACCCTCGTTATTATGAGGAAATCCGATTTGCTGTCTCTCCATTTAGAATGCAAGGCTTATACCTGTGACTTGAGGGTTAAGTCCAACAAGCAGGGTCAGTACTGCAGGGATTGTGTATACCACCTGTTAGCAAAAAAGGGAGGAAATTACGTGAGTGAAGATGTATGCCCAATATATGAGATGTTCAGAGATATGTAGGAAGTAAAGAAAGATGAGATCAGTGGCTGTTGTTCTCCATGATTTGCCTCTAGTTTCAATGGAGATTGACAAAGTGGTAGACTCTGCTTTTGTGGCACTTACCATGCCTGCCTGCAATTTTATCTACCTGACTCCTAGACTATAGGCTATTCGAGAAGCTCATTTACCTTTGAGCTCTGGCACTAAGCATAGGGTTTGACTTTCCAGTCTCTCTCTCCCAAGCAACTTTCATGCCCAAATGGCCTTTCCCCACTTGCATAAAAGAAAATGTTCTTTGAAAAGCAGGGCAGGAGCAGCCACGATGCTAGATGGCCCTGCTGGTTTGGACCCAATGGACCATCCAGGCCAGTGCTGCATCTCTTTGAGACCACAGAAAGTTTTCTAATAATGCATTCACAATCAACTGTGCCCAGTAATAAGGTCAGGGTCTTCATTTTGGAAACTGCTGGTAAGTTGTTTGGAAATGAGAAGTCTGGCCCTAAGGAGGCCCTATTCCTAAGCCTCGTTCAGAGCAAGCAGGCTCTAGCCAAACTTACTATTGGTGTGCATGTGTTGTTGGCGGGGAGCAAATAGGATGGGTGGGTTTCTAAGAAGGATGGGGACTTTCTGAGCAATGTAGCCGTTTAATCACATCAATTTCTGTGCTTATGTCAGAAGAAGACGTTAAGGCAGGTGCCAGGGGTCCACGCGGGAGGCAGTGGAGGGCTGAACTGTGAATGAGGGAGGATGTCTATGGGGACGTGGGGTCTATTCTTCCTATTATATCATCTGAGCATGAGTGAAAGGTAAAATGTGCAGGTACTACGTAGATAAGCAATTAGACCTATATTGTTTAATTATTTTATTTATTTATTTTTTTGAGATGGAGTTTTGCTCTTGTTGCCCGGGCTGGAGTGCAATGGCGCGATCTCGGCTCATGGCAACCTCTGCCTCCTGGGTTCAAGCAATTCTCCTGTCTCAGCCTCCCAAGTAGCCTGGACTCCAGGCATGCGCCACCACCCCCGCCTAATTTTGTATTTTTTTAAGTACAGTCGGGGTTTCTCCATGTTGGTCAGGCTGGTCTCAAACTCCCGACCTCAGGTGATCCATCCACCTCAGCCTACCAAAGTGCTGGGATTACAGGCATGAGCCACCGTGCCCGGCCTAATTAATTTTTTAGAGATGAGGGTCTCGCTATGTTGCACAGGCTGGCCTCGAGCTCCTGGGCTCGAGCGATCCTCCTGCCTCAGCCTCCTGAGTAACTGGGACTACAGGTGCATGCCATCATGCCCGGCTCAAATTTATTTTGTGTTTCAAGGGGCTCTCCAAGGCAGTGGTAAGGAACAGAGGGATGTTAAAGACGACTGAGATTCTAAACAAGGACGACTCAAAGAATGATTCTGCTGATAACAGAAATGGGTGAGTCAGGAGAAGTAGATTTTGGAGGGAAAGATGCTAGGTAGGTCCTTGGGCATATCTGAGGAGCAGTGTGACATGCAGGTGAATATACACAGCAGTCTTTTGGAAATTCACCATGCAGCTGGATGCCTGAGACTTGTCTTCAGGGAAATAATATTTGGAATTCAAGATATGGACCAGGGTGCCAAGGCAAAGGCAGTTTGATTTGATTCAGAGGCATAGTGATCTGGATAGTAAATATCAGAATGTGGTTTTATTGCACTAAAAAAACAAAACCTAGATAGAATTTTGTGTTATAATTCCAAATACCATCATCCTTGTTGCTCCTCTGTCAGTATTATTCTAAAGTCTAAGAATCATCCCCTTGGTGATACTGTACAGTCTTGTGTATCTATATTGAGAGAAACTGGGCAAAATTCAGATATTTTGGAAGATAAAAGATAGAACCGGCACGGTGGCTCACGCCTGTAATCCCAGCACTTTGGGAAGCTGAGGCAGGTGGATCACCTGAGGTCGAGAGTTCAAGACCAGCCTGACCACCATGGAGAAACCCCGTCTCTACTAAAAATACAAAATTAGCCGGGCATGGTGGCGCATGCCTGTAATCCCAGTTACTCAGGAGGCTGAGGCAGGAGAATCACTTGAACCTGGAGGCGGAGGTTGCGGTGAGCCGAGGTCGCGCCATTGCACTCCAGCCTGGGCAACAAGAGCGAAACTCCGTCTCAAAAAACAAACAAACAAACAAAAGATATTTAGAAGATGTATGGGACAATGTCCCCCTCCTCCAAATGGTTCAAATCAGAGCATTGCTTATATGAAGACTGTAGGTTTTACAGGATTTAATACTTTCTTTTTTTTTTTTTTTGAGATGGAGTTTCAGTGGCACCATCTCAGCACACCGCAACCTCTGCCTCCTGGGTTCAAGCGATTCTCCTGCTTCAGCCTCCCAAGTAGCAGGGGACTACAGGAACATGCCACCACGCCCGGCTAACATTTGTATTTTTTGGTGGAGATGGGGTTTCACCATGTTGCCCAGGCTGGTCTCAAACTCCTGATCTCAAGTGATCCACCCGCCTCAGCCTCCCAGAGTGCTGAGATTACAAGCGTGAGCCACCTTGCCCAGCCAGGAGTTAATACTTTCTAGAAATGTTAAGTCACTGAATTAGCAGAATCACAGAACTTAAGCCTGCTATTTCCCAGTCAAAGGTTTGCATTGAGTCTCTGGCTAGAAACCGAAAGGAATGGTTCAACTGGTCTTGAGAGGCCTACTCTAGGTCCTCAAGAAAGTGTCCTCAGTTGGGCCATCTAACCAAAGGGAATACTGCAGAAAGACCTGTTTCCAGAAAGTTCGAAATTCATACACACATTACATTAGAACTCTGATCCTGTCTACTAATATTTTAGGAAAAAGAGCTTACCAAGGGTTTGATTTTTAAGTTTCTAAGAAAATTAAGCAGAGGAGGGGTAAAGACAAAACCGTGTGTTTTGTGCCATTCCCCAATTCTTCCAAACGGAGGAAATCCTGGAAGCGGCTCATACTCACCACCCACAGCTCTGCATCAGGATCATTTACCTGGAACGTCAGAATACAGAAGTGTTAGCAGACATCCTGTGCTGTTCCATTCCTTTTAAATTCATTTGTTAAGTACTTTTTAAAATTAATGTGTTAAGTGCCAGACACTGCAATAGGCGTCGAGGATACAAAATCTGAACAGGATATAATCCAGCAGATGAGGGTGGGTGACGGTATTTGTGACTGACACAACAGATGTTTTTAACAGGCATCCATACATTTTTGAAAAGCCTTCACAGGGGCTCTGGAGAGGACTCACCAAACCCGGAATGGGTATTTTAAGGGCCCTCCACCCCCACCCCCCACCAGTCTCAAGAAATGAGGGAAATTACTATGAAGGGGGTCCCCAAGCCGACTAGAAAGTTTAATGATGCTATAAAGGGTTTTGTTCTGCTTCATCTCCTAGGCCCTGAGATGTGTCCAGTGTCGTCCGCGGACTGGACGTTAAGGCAGGGGCCAGGGCCGCTTCTGCTGAAGTCCCCTGGGAAGTTCCACGCGCGGAACCAGCCCCTTCCAGGGTATGAGCCCGGGTGTGGGACTCGCTTCCATGAACATATCCACGTCTCTTAGACGGGGGAGAAAGTGGGGGCTTCCCTAGCAGAAACCCCAAGTGCCGTCCTCCCCATGAACTGTGCGCCCCTGCGACTCTGCGGGCTAGTCAGTTACACGACCCGCCACGCCAGGGGGCGGAGCTGGGAGCCGGGCGGGTCCCCCTCCCACCGCGGCCGCCTGACCTGCACGAAGGCCGCCATTGCGAAGAAGGCGGCCATGAGCCCGTTGCAGGCCCGCCACAGGGAAGGCGCCATGGCTCGGGGAGCGCGGCGGCGCGGGGCGGCGACTCCTGCCTGGTACGGACCGGCTCCCTCCTTCCGCGGAGGGACCGAGACCCCGCCCCGGTTTCGGTCCCCTGGGGACACTGCCTTGGCAGTCGCTCGGCGCCGGGGGCGGGGAGGGAAGGGCGTGGCTGGAGCCAGTACTCGGCGTCCCATTCAGCCCGCCCCGAACGCCGCGGGGTGGAGGCGGCGCCGTCCCCGTTTCGCGGATGGGAAAGCGAGTCCCACCCGGAGCGCAGGTCTCGGTGGTGGACAGAACTCGAATTTGAACCCAAGTAGGTTCAACTCCAAAGCCTGTTTTCACTAAAGCTACCTTCCTCATATTAAAAAAAAAAAAAAAAAAAAAAAAAAAAAGAAGAAGGAAAAAAGGAATGCAGGCAGGCGGGAGGGAGGGGAGAGAGGTAGAAAAAGAAAGAGAGAAAGAAAGAGAGAGAGAGAGAGAGAGAGAGAGCCGGGCGCAGTGACCCACGCGAAAGAAAGAAAGGGTCGGGCGCAGTGGCTCACACCTGTAATCCCAGCGCTGTGGGAGGCCGAGGTGGGCGGATCACCTGAGGTCAGGAGTTCGAGACCAGTCTGGCCAACATGGTGAAACCCCGTTTCTACTAAAAATACAACAAAATTAGTCGGGCGTGGTGGCGGGAGCCTGTAATCCCAGCTACTCAGGAGGCTGAGGCGGGAGAATTGCTTGAACCCGGGAGGCGGAGGTGGCAGTTAGCCCAGATTGTGTGCCACCACACTCTAGCCTAGGCGACAGAGTGAGACTCCTCAAAAAAAAAAAAAAAGAGGTTTTTACAAAAATAAGAAAGAGAAAGAAAAAGAGGGTGTGTGTGTGTGTGTGTGTGTGTGTGTGTGTTCTGTTTAGTATTTATGCATTTCCTTCCAAAGCTCAGGAACTTTCAAATCCCTGTAAGCGTTATGGTAATTTCTAGAGTGACGACAGTTATATTAACATCTTATACGGCTCACAGCTTTTCCGCAGACAAGCTCATTTATCTTCATGGGCTTTTATTATAAAAGATATTTACATATTATACATATTTACAATTCTCTCCCGCCACCAAAACCAACAACATTTCCAAAATTGCTCATGAATTTCTTATGAACCAAAGACACTGAAATATTCACTGTTCTCCCCTAGTCTGTCTTGTCTTTTTCTGTTTTGTAATTCGCCCTTCTGCTTAGTTCCTCCCAGGTCTCATTTACACATCCATAGGCCTCATTTCTGCTGTTTTAAAGAGCCTTTATCGCTTCAAATCAGGAGCTTCTGTGCCTGTCCGCCTTTCCTTTGAGCTAAATCTCCTCAAACTGTCTAGTTTTTTTTTTTTTTTTTCTTTCCCTCTGAATTTCATTCTTTTCACGAAACACTTATTTCAGGAATGTGGTCTGCTCTGTGCCTGGTGCTGGGACCATGAAGGTCAGGTGCTGGGACCAGGCAGGGAGCCTGGTGGCTGGCGGGGAGTGGGCACCCGTGTTTGCAGAGGTGGGGTGGGGACAGCGGGGACCAGCACTGGGTGGAGTACCACCACTAAATCAGCCCTGGGATTGGAAACAAACCAAGACTACTCTCACTGTCCTTTTCCTTACATAAAAGAAAAAAATGAAAGCTGCATTCCCCCTGCACCCCCAATTCGTATGCTAAAGGCCCTAACCCCCAATGCCTCAAAATGGGACTGTATTTGGAGACAGGGACTTGATAGAGATGATTAAGTTAAAATGAGGTTATTAGGGTGGGCCCTAATCCAATATAACTAGTGTCCTGATATGAAGAGGGGACAGTTACAGAGGGAAGACCACATGGGCACACAGGGAGAAAATGGCTGGCTGCAAGCCAAGGGGAGAGGCCTCATGAGAAACCAACCCTACCGACATCCTGAATTTGGACTTCCAGCTCCAGAACTGTAAGAAAATATATTTCCGTTGTTTAAGCCACCTAGTCTATGGTACTTTTTTGGGGCAGTCCTAGCAAATTAATACAGGGAATGATTATAATATCCACAAGGAGACAATGGCATGGAAGTACTTTTAAGCTCTTGAATGCCATACAACCACCATGAAGTTGTACAGTTTTCACTGTTGTCTGGGACTTTCTTTTTCTTTTTCTTTATTCTTTTTTTTTTTTGAGACTAAGTCTTGCTCTGTTGCCCAGGCTGGAGTGCAGTGGCACGATCTCAGCTCACTGCAACCTCTGCCTCCCGGGTTCAAGTGATTCTTTTGCCTCAACCTCCAGAGTAGTTGGGACTACAGGTGCCCACCACCATGTAGGGCTACCTTTTTTTTTTTTTTTTTTTTTTTGTAGAGATGGGGTTTTACTGTATTGGCCAGGCTGGTCTTGAATTCCTGACCTCATGATCTTCGTGCCTCGGCCTCCCACAGTGCTGGGATTATAGGTGTGAACCACTGTACCTGGCCAGGACTTTCAAAGTCACCTTAGTGAGCGTCTGTTGGTTTTGCCTTTGCAGGGTTCAGTCCCCTTTCTTCTAGGATCAGTGTCTTTAGTACTGTGGGTTACCACACGCACTATGGGTGGATGTGGACTACAGGGCTGACCATTTTCCCCTCCTTCTGGGGATAGGCAGGTGACTTTGGCCTGCCAGCTGACATATCCCCTTCTGCCGACCACTGTGATTGGGTCTAGAATGGATATAGGGTCCAAATTGCCCAGATTCAATACTAGGACCTGTATGGGACTTAGGGTTGTCAGTAAAGGACAACCTCAGTTGAACTGAATTTTGGATCATCAATGATGTGTTCCAAATATTTGCTAAATCTGGCAACCCTACTCAGACTATTAAAGAGAAGCTTTCTTTGTGATGAATGTCTAGAGCTGGTAGAATGTGAGCCTGGAGCTGTCGGGAGAAAGCCTCACAGGGAGAAAGGCTTTCCACGGGTAAAGTCACTGTAGAGGAAGTGGACCTGAGATAAAGGCCTGGATCCAGCCATGCCTGAAGCTGGAACAATCTGAAAACCAACAGAGTCTCTTCTTTACATAAGCCCATGTGAACTGGGTTTTTGTAATTTGCAACAAAGAATGATGACTTGTAAAGTCACGATCCAGTAGTTAAGGCAATGTGTGAAATCCTCTCAAACCTTATGCTATAGGTTTGTCTGGAATTTGCAGAGACACGGAAGAGAAGGCTTAGTCTGAAAAGTAATGAAAAATACGTTTAAATGAGTCCAATACCTCAGACAGCTCTGCTTGAAGAGTAATTTCGTTTTCCTTTTTAACAAAAGGCTGTGATACAACACTGCAGAGAAGATGAAGTTTTAAAGGGAGTGGGGTCTTGTCAAAGCTGGCGTCCCTCTGCAGAAAGGGCAGCACAAAAGACCCTTCATCCTGCTGGACGCTCCCTGGCTGCCCAGTCAGTGACAGCATCATAAAAGCAATTGGAGCCACAGGAGTGAGGCGAGCTGGACTCACTTCCCTGCTGGAATCCAAGAATGGCTGGACATCTGTCCTCTGAGAACTTGGAAATAGAGATGCTTGCTTGTTCCCTGAGAGTAGGGTTATTAATCCAATGCTAAGAGATGGAGCAGAGAGAGGAAGCTCATATAAAGACACAAATGGCCTCCCAGGGTCACAGGATTGAGAGAGAGAAAATGAATGCATGAAAGTGTGTAAAAGAAGAATGTCAGCAAAGTAGGATTGATGGGTTCAGAGGCTCCAAGTTAGGTCATCTGGAAGGCAAGCATAGACCAAGTCCATCCTCACACAGACTGGAGAGAGTGCTTTGCTCCACCAGATGTGGACACTCACATTTCTTGGTCGGGCCAACCTCTTGGGGGCTGATGTGGGTTGAAAATTTCACAAGCTCAACCCTCCCTTTACTGTGATTCCAGAAGGCCAATTTTGGAGACTTTGGCTTCCTGCCTAGCTGGCCTACAGAGTGGAGAATATGTGGTTCTTCGAGCCAGGTGGATTTCAAAGTGTGTATCGATGGAATGCCCATGCCATTCTCTTTTATAGACTGGTTTTCCTTGTAGCAGTCTCCATTATCTATCCTTCGATGTGTGGTCAGCTACTCTGGAATGTGGTGGGGGTGGAGGCCGGACAAAGTCCGAAGCAGGGCCATCACCAGTGAGTGGCTCCTGCCTTTGCTGGATGTCCAGAGTGTGCGTGTGCTGGTGATGCTCCCAAGGTGACATACTGGGAGCAAGGATTATAAGGATCAGAAACCACTGCCTGTGCCATCTACCTTCCTCTGTCCAGCACACCAGACACTAGATCAGCAAAGGCCAGGCCATACTGTCTCCAGGCTCTGCTGATTCCATGTGAATGAAGTGAGGATGTGACTGTGACCTCGAGAGACACGGTGTTTGCCCTTGTAGAGCTTACAGGCCAAACAATAATTACATGAATAGGTAGGGGTTCCAGCCAGCAATGGTGGTGATGCTACGAAGGAGAAGTGAGGCTGCTATGGGAATGTGTGAAACCAGAGAATCTGACCTCTTCCCAGGGGTTCCAGAGACCTCCTGAGGAGGTGATTTTCAGGTGTGCCCCGAAAGATGAATGGGTGAGGACAGGTGAAGACTTTAGGGACCGGTGCGTAAGGCCAAGAGAGAAGTGCTTATGAGAAGACCCCAAATCCTTAAGGTCTTCAGAGGTTGGCAGGGAATGAGAGTACAAGTAGACATAGATGAGGCTGGCACGGTGCAGGTAAGGAGTTTGATTTTATCCCGGCTGGGTGTGGTGGCTCATGCTTGTAATCCCAGCACTTTGGGAGGCCGAGGCGGGTGGATCATCTGAGGTCAGGAGTTCAAGACCAGCCTGACCAACATGGTGAAACCCCATTTCTACTAAAAATACAAAATTAGCCAGGCATGGTGGCGCATGCCTGTAGTCCCAGCTACTCAGGAGGCCGAGGCAGGAGAATCGCCTGAGCCCGAGAGGTGGAGGTTGCATTGAGCTGAGATCACACTATTGCACTCCAGCCTGGGCAACAGAGTGAAACTCCATCTCAAAAAAAAAAAAGGTTTGGTTTTACCCCAAGTGTGCTAAAGAGCCCCTGGAGCACTGAGCAGGGAGAGCATGATGGGAGGTGTGCTTGGGCTACCCCGTGGAGGAGGATGCACTGGGAGAGCCCAGAGAAGAAGCAGAGACTGGCCATGAGGTGCTTGCAGCAGGCCAGGAGAGAGAGAATGCTGGCCAGGGCTAATAGGGTAGCAGTGGCTTGTGGAGGGAAAGAAGCACGAATGAGTGATGTTGGGGAGATAAAGTCAATCGGGCTGTATACAGGGAATAAAAAAACACTTCCACGCCTCATCTGATGACAAAATTAAGTTTTCGAGGCTGGGCATGGTGGCTTACACCTGTAATCCCAGTGCTTTGGGAGGCCAAAGTGAGAGGATCACTTGAGCCCAGGAGTTCAAGACCTCCTGGGCAACAGAGCAAGACTCCATCTCTACAAACAATTTTTAAAAAATTAG